TCTTTCCAGTTTTCCACTCTGATGCTTGCAGCTGTGAGGATGTATCTGGATTTCAGCTGCTGTTCAGCATCCAGGCTTTCTTCACACTGAAGCTTCCCAGTGTGTTCTGCAGGTTTTCACCAAGACCAGCTGAAACATTTCCACATCAGCCAAACATCTTGTTTCAATTCAGATTTCTACTTTTTCCTTTCTAGCATTCTCATGAATTACAGCTTACGTGACAGCTGAGACCATGGCTGGTCGCTGTCCTGAGTAACACAATAAATAGCAGGAATTGACAACATGAGTCAACTTTGACTTGGATATGACTTTTCATATTGCACGTGGCTTCCAAGGAACTGGGATTTTGGTATTTGCTTTGGGAAGTCTGGTTCATTAGAATCGAGTTTGAAATGATGGGAAAGAAAGAAGAAACTCACAGCAGTTTATGGCAAAACTCTGCAGTTGGGTGTTTGAACCAGTCAGGTGCATCACACAAGCTTGTTCTGTGAAACAGCTGCCTCAAATTCTGTCATGTTAGGCTGCTTGTATGATTTCTACCTGGGACTGCTTCAGCTTATGTGATGAATCTATCCTTTATCTTATAACTTTCTTCCTTGCTTCTGTTGGCACAAGTTGTTTCTTACTGGGGGATCTGTTTTTATTTGTGTCATAGTTGACTCACACTGGAGTTCTGGAAATAGACTTTGAGGAGAAATACTATATTTTCCTAATGAATTATGGTTTCCCTGTAGCACACAGACGATCTTCCTTTAACTTCGAATGCCTCCGCCGGCAAAGTAGCCAAGATGAGATACCACTCTCTCCTAATTTTCACCATCGCACTGCTTTACCGCTTCATTTAATGCAACAGCAGGTAAGCACAAACTCTTACTTAACTAATAATAAATTAGATCTTTCCAGCTTCAATATTGTACTTCTGACTTTTGCTGTTGTTTCAGACAATACTGGTGTGTTGTGGTGTTTGCTGTGAGTGACTTCCAGGCCAAGTGTAGGCTTGTAATAGAATACTGACCTTGTACAAAACACTGAGAATCAGGAGCTTCCCCTTGGACTCTTGAAGTGCCCACAAAGAGTGGGGATGCCCTAAGGAATTTTGACCATGTTGACTGCGTGATACAGCAGCTGTTTGTTAATCTTTGCCTATGTGGTTACTCAACTCCATTTGTGTGAGAATTTGCAAGTACCACATACACACCTTCTGGGGCTCAGTGCCTGGCTTGGATAATGCTGAAAGTTTCCTATCCTGTCCCTGCAGGACAGAAGGAATGTTTCTATACTTTCCTTTCTTGAATATATTGTATAAGCAAAAAGATTTTGTGATATGCATAAAGTGGAAAAAATGCCACTTTATCCTGTCAATTTACCAATTTCAGTGCTTTTCTACACTATGCAACAGAAAAATGTTACCTTTGCAAAGCTGCTGCCTGAAAAATTGCACTAAATGCTGAAGTGAGAAATGGATGTGACTGAGCATTTGAAGTCACTAACTTCTCACATTCTTCCCCTTACCAGGTCATGGCCGTTGCAGGTCTGGATTCCAGCAAAGCTCATAAACACTCACCAAGTCGTTCAACGCGTTCCTGGGCTACCCCACCTGCCACCCCTCCCAACAGGGACCGTACCCCGTATTACACCCCTCTGATCCAGGTGGACAGGGCTGATTCCACAGAGCACATGAACGGCAGCCTCCCTTCCCTGCACAGGAGCTCTTGGTACACGGACGACCCGGACATTTCCTACCGGACATTTACACCAGCCAGTTTGACTGTCCCCAATGACTTTAGGCATAAACACAGTGACAAGCAGAGGAGTGCAGACAGTCTGGTAGAAGCGGTGAGTATTGCAGGAACCTCTGAAGTGGCCAGCAGTGTCTGTGTGTTCAGTTTTTGTGTTGACTTTAAAAAGCATATCATTTTGTTCACAATAGCTCTCTGAAAATGTGGTATTTTCGGTTTCATAGCCCCCAGCTGGCTTTAAGTAAAGAGTGGAACTCTTTGAATTGTGTAGTAAAGGATTTCTGCTGAATCCAAATCTTAAAATCAGTGAGGTAGTGATCATAGAACTGAAGATATTTCAACATTTTGAAATTTAAGTTTTCTAGATGAGGATCAGTTCTGAAGTATCCTTCCACAATGGCAATAAGGAAGAGATGATGCATATGCCTGTTCTCTCCATTGTTTCTATAGAAATAATCAGCATTTTTGCAATAATCTGAATAAAAGATCAAAAACTCTATGAATCAGTGTGTTAAATGCAGAGGGGTGAATAACAACTACAAGTATTGATTTGTAGGTGTACTAAAGAATGTTAGGAATTTCCTTTCATATTAAAAGGGATGTGAAGATAAAGAGTGCGCAGCATTTCTGAGTACTAATTACTGTTGTTGCTCCCATCTATTACTTCCTTTCCATTGGTGTGAGCTAAAAAATACATTTTGTTACTTGTTTTAGCACATGGGAATTCAACATCTTTTTTCCATGTACTTTAAAGTACTGAGAACATACAAAAATCTGTATTTCAGGCAGTTGTTCTAATTGCACCATTTGAGAGACATTAACTGTATCAGCCTGATGATTCATGTTTATCCAAGACTACTGCCAAATTTCTAAAGAGAAGTCTCAGATGTACTGTGAAATCAGTTGCACTATCACAGAGCTGGCAGGGTGATTTCATTGTTCTTTACACAGTTTTGCTGTGGGTTGCTGTAGTGATTCACAGTGGGGTTTTGAGTGTTCTCCACAAACAAGAAACTTTATGATCTGTCTGTTCTTCTCTGATTCCACTGTGTATCTCACTCTCTCCACCTGCCAGGTGCTTATATCTGAAGGCCTAGGACGGTATGCAAAGGACCCTAAATTTGTTTCTGCGACGAAGCACGAGATTGCTGATGCATGTGACATGACCATTGATGAGATGGAAAGTGCAGCAAGTAATCTTCTCAATGGAAATATTAGCAATGGGACCAATGGGGATATGTTTCCAATTTTAAGCAGACAAGATTATGAACTTCAAGATTTTGGTCCTGGCTACAGCGATGAAGAACCGGAAACGGGACGATATGAAGAAGACTTAGCTGATGAAATGATATGCATTACAAGTTTATAGTATTTAGCAAGGAAAATGATTCTAATAACAGAAAAAGTGCCTCACAGTTTAAAGATGCTAGGCACTAGCTGGAGTGAGTAACCAGTCGAAGTTTTGTACGAGTGATGTCACACCTCAAGGAAGCCATAACTAATACATTTATTATCTCCAGGTTGCCGAAATGTGATCAGAGCTGCAGTTTGTCGAGTCTCCTCCCGCAGAGCCTTCAGTTCCTCTGCAGGAATAAGGTTATTTTGAAACCAAGCAGATTGTGACAATCAGTTTTTTGAGGGCTAGAGCAGGATTCTGAGGTGTAATATCTTGCCTGTCTTTCAACCTTGTGCTGCTGTCCTTCATAGTAGAGCAGGATTTTGTCAGTGAAAATGTCTGTACAGGTCTGGCACAAAATTGTGTGGGAAACAGCAACATGAGATGAGTGATGACAACAAATAATGTCATTACCTCAGTGCTCAATAGCATATCAGCTACTCGTTGCATATCCATTCTAACATTGTTTTCAAACTTGCCTCCTGATTTCTTTTCTTAATGCTCTTCTAAACTACAGTTTGTCATGCTCTACCTGTTAGAGATTGTTGGAAAAAGAAGTTATATAAAGAATAATCTGTCATATGTAACATCAGTTTACATAGGAAAATATCATTCAGATAGTCTGTTTTATGACTATCACGTTAAGGGCAAAATATACTGGAATAATTGCATTCTTACTAATGCACTTGCAACCAGGTTATAGTAGAATTAGATAAGATAGTTTGCTAAAAATTATATAGTAGAAAATATTGTAAATTAATTGTAATATACAATGATTTGTATTTGTAAAGAGATGTTCTATATTTTGTAATTATTGTACCGTAATTGAACTGCAGCAATATTTATGGACCCTAATTATTGTAACTCTCCACAGAATTCTAGATAGAAGTATTTTTACTTGGAATATATAGATCTATAGCATAAATATTTAAATAGAGCCACCTCTCAGTGTAAATCTCTTTTTGGGATAAAGTGTCAAGTTTGAACTTGGCAACAGAACAGATTTTTTTTTTTTTTAATAATTGACTCAAAAGAATCTCTCAGCATAAGGGATGCACCATTGACTACTTACAGTCTTATACTTAGAAAGGTAAAAGATTTAAAGTTATTTCAACTTTTTTGACTGAAAAATAAGCTCTAATTTTATTTTTGTATTAATCCCATGCAAAAAAAAATTAACAACTTGACAAGTTCTGCCAAGTTATGGTCATGAGACAATTAGTTTTGACTAAGTGTAATACCTTCATACCCTAATTTGACACAGGAAGCATCTTGGGCAGAAAATACTTCACAGGGAAATGAAAATGCTTTACTTCAGTGCTACTTTCTCTGCTCAGAAAGAAAAGAAATAACATAAAGTGATTCTACACAGAACCAAAAACCTTGATATACAAAGTATACTATTTTATTGCCTCTACCTTTCTGTTGTTCTATGTGTACTATTTCAAAGATTTATTTTTATGCAATCAAGAGAGGGCTTCGATATTGTTCACAATGCAGTAAAACCCTGAAATGACTTTGAGGCTGAAATGACCTTGGAGGATAATAAAAAACCACACTGAAAGCTACTGTCTATTTTGTTAGCACTGGATAACAATGACTTGTTCTAACAAGTTATCTTATCAGGTTTTACCTGTAGTTCATATGCTAGATAGCAATCCAGTTCACATTTTTACAAATGTGATGTTTAAAACATGTCAATAAGCATTTTGTACATAATGACAGTTTCCTATGAATAGCTTACAGACTTCCTCTGAAATCATTCTTATTTCAAATGCCAGGATAAGAACTTAAAGGTTTGTAAATTATTTCTTGACCTACATCATTTTGTATTAAAACAAATGCAAAATGTTCTTCAAAATAAAACTGTGTAATAATTTTATTATACTTGGGTGTCCTTTTACTAATATTTTTTCACCAACAAGCTCCAAAGGTTAAATTCTGTTTGCATTGTTTGAAGAATGGGAGGGGACATGTGGAATACAGTATCAGGCTACTGTATCAGCCTTTTATGAATGGTTGCTGTTAACCAGAAAGAAAAAAAACAAGGAGAGTTTTCATATAAAAAAAGGGATTATTACTTCCCTAGATACAGATCTATGGAAAGAATTAGGAAAATTTGATTATAATCCCCTAAAACATCAATATTTTTCATGCCATCTGCTGGGAAGTGCTTGTGTAGGTTACCCAGCTGTAGTCACTTCATTGTACTTTCCCAGTTTACAGAAAAAAAGAAACTCCAGGAAGCCAAAATGGAGGTTTCTGGATTTGGTATCTTGTGAAATAACAATAAGTTATAAGTAAATTCACTGAAAAAGTGAATCTACAAAATATATTTGAACACATTTTTTTTGGAGCTTGGATGACAGAAGAATTGAGACTAAAGTTACAATGCAGTGATATCATGTGTTCTCTCTACAATAACTCTTCATTTTAACTATAAGAAGTATAGAATATTTAATTATTCCTAAAAAAATTTTTGTATATTTTATAGAAAATGCATATTACAAGCCCAGTTTACAGTTTTCCAGTATTTATATAGCTGCCTCATTTGGTTGCAGATTAATTAAAATCAGACACTTGGAAAGGATTTTAAGTTGTTGAAACATCAGAAGTTCTGGTGTACAAAACCTTACATAAATTGCAGTTTTACAAATACTGGTATTTTCTGCTGCTTTTAAAAGCACTTGTCATACCAAAGCAATTTGAACTGAAATGTGTGTACAAAAGGTGTGGGTTTGGCCACTTTTCTTTCTTAATCTCATTGTCCCAACCAGAGACCTCCAGCTGTCTGAAGCATCTGCAGCAAGATAACCCCATGGAAATGCTGATGTTCTCACTTGCAGAACCACTGTTGGTTCAAGCCATGCTGGTAGGTCTAGTAATTTCCAAATTCTCACATCAAACAGCTGTTATAGTTAACTGGTTTTGAATACATAAATAGTGTCATCTGCACATTATAGAAAAATTAATGTCTCGGTAGAATTGGGAATAATCACACCATATTATTCTGTTAAATAAGTAAAACTCTGGAATTCTCAGCCTGTGTTTTGCAATCCAATAAGGTGTAAAAGATGGTTAATTTTAGCTAGCAGACTGCCAGTGCTCCACGGGGCATGTTAGAATATCTTGGACATGTTCTAAGCATGACTTGACTCTGCTAGGAGTCAGAACAATTTTACCAGGAATTCAATATCAGCAGCCAGGTATCAGCAAGAGAAACTAATGGTAAGATTGGTGTTACCTAAAGATTTCCCCAGGGCAGCAAAAACTTCCAGCCATTTCTCTAGCACTGCGTCAAAGGAATGTCATGAAGGAGCCTCAGCGTTCTACAGCAGTGAGGCTGGAATTAATAAAGCAACTGCAGTTCACAGCAATGAAAATGTTTTAAGTGTTTCGAAGGGGAGGAATCTGCAAGGTGTCTATGGGTGCCAGAAAAGATTATGTTTCAGAAGAAGTGCCTGATTATCTAAGATACATATAGTTTGTTGTGGATACTTTGCTATTTACTCATATTTTTAGGGCTTGACATAATGGCAGAGGATAGCTCTGTGTGTTCAGTGGTAAGTTATGTAAGCCAGTGGCTAGTTAATCCTCTGCAGCTGCATAATAACAATTTCCATCTTGTATACCTAGATTGGAAACCCATGTTATAAATCTGCAAATGCAGGAACTTCAGTTTTCCATCTTGCCAAATTGCTTCCCCTCTCAACTGCACAGGACTGTGGTAAGTCTCACCTGTTTATATTATTACTCTGAGTATGCTAATTGTGTTCCAAATGACACTAAGACACTTGCTGAATACCTTTAAAGGAAAAATCTCAGGAACACAGGTGCTGAATAAAAAAGATTTGCCATTAAAAGGTACAGAATATGCAGTCCATGCTTCTCCCAAACGCACAGTTTCGTCAGATCAATCATGTCTTTCAGCTAATCAATCACCTACGACTTGAAATATTCCTGTTCTTCCCCTCATTTCAAAAGAATGCATCACGTACATAGAAAGGGTTTACCTGCCTCTTTTTGGAGCAGAGTTCACTGCTGTCATCTTCCATCTTCAGTGCTTTTGTTTGTCTTTATGCAGACATTCAAGTGAATCAAGTCCTTTCTCTCAGTTAACAGCAGGGCTTCCAATCCCTGCCTTACAGCGAGCAGCACCAGGTACAAGTATCTGCCTTAAACATCTGCAGTTGTCCCTCTAGCCAATGTCTGAGTCAGCAAGGTTTTTTACAATCTGTTCAAAGGGTGTCAAATTCCATTTTTTTTTTCTGAAAAAAAGTTTATTCTGTTTGCCACCAAACTTTTAGGCTACAGAAGCTTTTACTTTACAATTTGACAGCTGCTTAGTCAGAAGTTATTTTGCAATTCTTAATAAATACAAACTAACCGATGGATTCAATTTCATTCAGTAAGTCCATGAAGGATCATGCATCTTAATTCACACATTTGAAGATAATAAAATTAAGATTTAAGTCCCAACTAAAATGGATTCACTGAATAAGATACTTGTCTTCTAATTTAAAAAGATCTCTTCCCATATTATAAATATCTGACCTTATGCAGTTATTTTGAATAACATTTCATTTTAAAGGTAGTTTGGCTGTAATTGTTTAAATAAAATTTGAGTGATAGCAAGGCACCATTCACAATATTTTTTGAGAAATATCTTTTGCAAACAATGACCTTGGAGCTAAGACCAGTAACTTTAAGGATGTTTCTTTAAATAACAAGGCAGACCATAAGGATTTTCAAAATAGTACACATTAATATCTTCCCTTCCTCATGCAATTGCACTGTATTTCTGGCTCGTGTGCACATCTGTCACTTAGAAACAGCTTCTCTTCAACCAAAAGTTTGAATTTACCACAGGAGGTCGTATTTAACTTGATTTGTGATTCTTGGAGTGTCCTACACAGGGCCAGAAGTTGGACTCAATGGTCCTGATGGGTTATTTCCAACTCAGCATATTCTATGATTCTGTAATTTTAAAAAAAGCAACTTAAGCCAACTCATTAAAAAAAAAAGGGCAGGTAGTCTAATTTTAAAAAAAAAAGTTCAAATTAGTAGTTATTTTATTAGGACATGTTGTTTTGTGGGATATTTATCATGTTGGCACGTTCAGTATGAGATACCCACATGCTGATCAAAGCCTAAGTAGCAAAAGATGTGAAAGGATGAGAATATTTGTTTATCTCTGTGATTCCAGGGTTTTAGGCTTATATACAGGAACATTTTTCTCCTGAAGTGATGGGAGGCCCTTAATTATATCTGCAGCTTTCTCTGCTATCATGATGGTCGGGGCATTCAGATTTCCACTGACAACACTGGGCATTATCGAAGCATCGACTACTCTCAGGTTTTCAACGCCAATGACTTTTGTTTGGGGATCAACTACAGCAGTGCTGTCTGAAGGCTGACCCATTTTGCAGGTGCAGGAAGGATGATAAGCACTATCAGCCTTCTGCCTTATGAAAGCATCTATTTCTTTGTCAGACTGGACATGGCTTCCTGGCTGAATTTCAGGCCCGCAGAATTCTTCCAAAGCTTTCTGAGCAAAGATCTCTCTGGTCAACTTGACACACTGGCGGAATTCCCAAATATCTCTTTCTGTGCAGAAAGAAAATAAGAAAACTGTAAGTAGACCTTCAGTTTAGCAGTACATACAGAATGCATAACAGATAAAAATAGCATAGAAGAGAAAAGGCTGGAGGAATTCTGACTGCATCCCCTCCAAGGAATTCTTTCTAGTTTATAGGGTACTTTGGGCAACCACCTCTTTCAATACTAGTTGACTTTTATAAATGAGAAATCAGTAACAATGTACCGGCCAACGCTTCTGAAATGGTGCTGAGTAGACAGAAAAATCTGCCACTGAAACAGGCAGGAAGTAAGTTGACATCAGAGCAAGGAGAGGCTGCATTTACCTGTTGACAGGTAGTTGGGCTCAATGATAGGATGGTCATTTGGGTTTGTACTCTTCAGCTTCAGCCAGCCCACACTTGTGCTCCTCATGGGTCCCACATGGACCTGCAACAACAGTGCTGTACTCGTGACACAATCCCACCAGATACGGTTCCAAATTCAGTATGAGGGTGTTTTTGTTTGTTTGCTTGTTTTTCTTTTTTTAATTTAGACAGACTTTACAAATTCAGCAAACATAAATGTTAAACAGAGATAATGGAAAATACCACTGAACACTTTCCCTTTTTACATAAACTTTTTCTAAGTGTATTCCATAAGGGAAAGGAAATACCAACTCACAGCTGTTCTTTTGATTTAAAATACAATCATTCCAATTTAGTAGTAGCAGAGCATTCTAATACAATCAGCAGTTGGACCAAATTACTACCATCCCTGAAGAAGAGAGTGGCAACAAGAAACATATATATTCAGCGACAGTTCCCCAGAATTAGCACAGGCTTGGGGCTTGGATTTGTGCCAATGAATAAATGTGTGGTCTTATAAATTTTCACTTAAACCTTTGTCTGAACTGCAGTGGAATGGATTTAGTGGAACTTGATTTAGTTTTCAACAGCACCTACCACAATGTTATCCTAATCAACAGCATTATGGCACTTCAGCAGTGCAAATCCTTAACCAGCAATTCAATACTTGCTGAGATAAAAAGATAAAAAGTATCATAATTTTGATACGAGATAAAAAGTAACATAATTTTGGTAGCAATATCAAATGACAAGCTTGTGTTTTTTAACCCAATGTAGGAGGTTAAGGCAACTCTTTCATATTATACTGTACAAAGTATTTTTCAGTATACAGTCAATTTATCAATATTTATTATGGAGTCTAAGCCTCCTTACTAATACAAGACATGATTGGAACATATTCTTCAACTCACCTGGTAAGCTTCTATCGTGGAAGCAACCCGACCATGATCAATCACCTGAGAAGGAAGAAAGTGGAACTGAATGTCGGGGTGAGGAACCCCTGGTTCACTTCGGATAAAACCACCAGATTCTAAGTGGGAAGTGGCTCCCTCACCTAGAAAGTGTAAATGAGAGAGAAGATGCCATTAAAAGACCTCAGAAGAGCAACAAATCCACTTCTTTTTAACCGTTAGTAACACTACTGTGAATAATTTATAGATTGAGCATCAATTGCAAGGAACACAAATCCATTTTGAACAGCTTATAATTTAAGAAATGTGCATCACTTTCATCTGCTTTTTAATGGCTAGATAAATGTAAATATGCATAACTTTGGAAATCCTCCTTATTTAAGAGTGGGATGTTACAGTTCTCTCACCAACTGGCAGGTCCAGGGTCTAACTCCAGAAGCAGATTTGGTCCCAGGACCCACAGGTGTGGAGGGAACCAACTGCAGCACCCTGATATTCCTGTCCTGCACACTCCCTGATGTGCAGCACACTTATCCCATCAGTCACATGTAATAGGCAGAGATATTCACAGTCCCTACCCTGAAGGGAAAGATGAAAAGCTTGCAATATGCCCCATATAATGTTATTTCCACATCTGTTCAAAAACCTAAGTTAGCTGTCAGTATTTACTTGTGTGGTAAAAAGCCACATATATCCAGCCTAAGCTGTTAAATACCAATAGAATAATTCAGCAAATGGGGAAGACCTCAACTTTGACCAAACTATTTTACTAAGATCAAGGACTGTATTTACAGATTCTTTTTAAGGTACAACTTACAGCTGAGTTACTGTAAAATGCACTGTCATTTTAGCAAAAGTCGGTTTGGATTTACTTGCAGGCCTAAAGGATTCTGATCAGAGCAACAAACAAATTCTTTGGGACAATTATGCAGAAGACTTAGTTCAGTTCAACAATATATTTTTATTGACATTGCATGGATTTCAAGTAGAATATTTTCTTCATTTTTTTAACAATAACTTTTTCAGGAGCACCGATTTTTAAATGTAGAATTTTTCTTCAAATGAGATATAGAAATGTTAAAAATGGTATATAATAACCTCCCTCGTTACCTAAGATATTATTGCATTAAAATATTCTGATTTAGAAGAAAATAGTTCAAGTCCATTTGCAAGTTCCAGTTATTTTCCAGAGCGTTAAAAAAAATTTACACATCAAGGCTCCCAGATTATGAAATCCATGGATGAAAGGCTGTAATAATTCTAAATCAATCAAGGGTAGAATGATTGCATACTTTTTTCATACCTGTAAATTTCCAAAGCCATTCCAGACCAATCCTTATCATGTTAAGTGGCTTTTGTGCACTATATAGAGTAATAGGCTTGGTGCACTTTTGCTGGACATACACTTCTAAATGATCTTGAAGGTTCTGGCCTACTCCTGGGGGGGAAATAAAGGGGGAGGAGGGAGAAGAAAAGATGGGGGGAGGTTATTTAAATACAGAACTGTTACACACCATGTTTGCTACCAGAAAACAACATAAATGGGAACTAAACTAACCTCTTAACAAGGGCAGTGGTGACTAAGACCAAGACCATGACTTATGTCAGCCTTTTGCTCATGTCAGAATTAGGTTTTACATAAACATAGCATAACTAGAATGGAAATAGAAAGTTAATACAGTACTAACTTTTTTAGTTTTAAGGAAAAGTTCATGGTTTTCCTTCTATATTTGAGTATTTATGACAGTGGGAGTTTATGCAATCTGTTGTGGATCAAAACTCATTCAAAATTCTTAATAAGTGTGCTGCTTAACCTTAAAGTATGCCCTCAGAAAGGCATTTTTACTATCAAATGTAGTGAAGAAAGTGTAGGAGTTTGTAGGAGTTTGTTGTTCAGTTCTAAAATCAATGCATGTTTCCAGTGATTTGTATAAAATCAATGCAGCTTTCCACTGATTTGTAACAAACACGTTTCAGTCTACACAAGCTGACATAAAGAGAGCTGAGTTTCATGATTCATTTTATTTAACCGTCATTGAATTACATTTGTCAGAACATGAAAGGTTAAAACAAATAAAAAAATTACCAGGAAGATGGCAAACAACAGGGATCCCCAGTTTTTTTAGGTCATCTGCATTTCCAATTCCAGACAACATAAGCAGCTGTGGAGAATTTATGGCACCTCCACTTAAAATAACTTCCTTATTGGCAAAAACCTAAAAGGAAATGAGCACAAAAGCCCTAAGATTATTAAGCCTGAGCTGACTGAAAGCAATGTCAAGAGCTTCTGTTTGAATATGCTGTTCTGATCCAGATTAGACACCCTTCCCTCACATTTTCCTCATCCTAAATGTGTTCCTGTCTTGCCAGAAGTTTCCGCAGAGAGAAATAATCAAGCTTTCACTTTGATCATTTCTGTATTTATTACCATCTTCACAATCCATTCAGATTGGATGGCACATAAACATTCAGCTCAGTCAGTACCATGGCTGCAAATAAACTCCTGTCCTACTTGCTAGGAAAAAAGTACCTATAACACTAGGATCAGGCAGTTAAGCTTCTCTTCCATTTTCAATAACCATTTGTAAATTAAAACTGAAACTCCTAAGGGAGATCTTGAAGGGAGACATGCTAGCTCAGAAATTTTCAAGAGCTTATTTTCTTAATTCAGCCAAGACTAATGTTTGGTTTCTTAGCTCGTTGTAGTTCTCAGAAGCCTCTCAGTCACTACACTACTGAGAAAACTGTCTGCAGGCATATCTCTAATTCTGTTTTGCTGACATACTTTTCATCAGACAGTTTGGTCTGAGCCCTGAGCTGGCCATGATACAGCTGCTAAACTTCCTCTGCCTTTGACTCAGTTTTCTGTGCTGTTTAGTTCTTTTCCTAGAACCTTCTCTGCAAGTATATGTTCAAAATATCCCTTTCTGTTCCAGTGAGATGGTTCATGGACACACACACGTGTTCCATCCTCCCTGGTCACACGAATGTTGCCTGTTGAAATATAAGATATCTGTTGTATAGACACTGAGTTAGGGATTACAAACTGAATATTTATTCTAGGAGATAAGAAAAAAAATTCAATGTTCACCTGTTCTTTAGAAAGAACAACTACCCCACAGAAGAAACAAAAAGTATGTAACAATTTAATGCAAATTCTAAGCTAGTCCAACATGTTAAAGCAATATGCATTTGCAAAAATGACACCTTAACATTTATCCTTGAATTCTAATATGTCTGTGTGGCCACAGTGAGGACAAAATAGGTGAACACACACAATTATGCCCCTGAGCTTCTTCTCATTACAAGCAAAATCCATGAGGGTTCAAGGAAACACACAGGCTCCCCAGGGAAGTGCTGGAGTCACCATCCCAGGAAGTGTTCAAAAAACAGGGAGACATGGCACTCTGTGATATAGGTTAGTGGGCAGGGTGGTACTTGGTCGAAGGTTGGACTTGATCTAGTAGGTCTTTTCCAACCTTAATTCTATGATTCTGTGATTCCATGTGTGGAACTGCTCATCTGCATTTTCCACTTCTGTAGAGTGGAAGGTTCTGTTACGAGTAGCTGTTTGGTTTTATTTTAGGTGGGACATTTATCTTCTAAAGCAACATTAAAAAGTGATATGTTTTCTCCTGTAGTATGGGGGAATGTTAACAGATTAGCATGGAAGGCATATTAACTTGGAGTAATTCTGTCCTTTTTGAATGACACCTCAGCTATACAGAATGATTGTAAGTGAGATTGTTGCTGGAGTAAGACTAGGAAGTAAGAGGAAGAAGTTTCATGAACTATTTTCACAGCATTTATCTAATATTGCTGACAGAGGGACAATGCTGCTATTTTTGGTTTTTATTGTTTTGCTCTGGGCAGTCATTAACATAACCTGTGTTAAGACTAACACAGATCACATCTATGCCTGTTGAACCAACACTTAGATCTGTATTTTGCATGTTACACAAATATAACTTACTTACATTTTCTATGGTACACACAGAACTGGTGCCAATTTGTTCCAAGTACCATTCAAATGGTGCTTGTTCAGTCTAAATTCACTGTAAAGTCAGCACTGTAGTTATTCTCAGCCTATATAGTCTTTCATGGTGCTCAAAGTTAAGATGCTAAGAGAAAAACTGACTGATACATTTCTGTATGGGTTTTGTATGGGTTATTTAGTTTATGATACATTGTTTACGATACATAGTTTATGATACATTGAAACATTTTTATCCTTTAAAATGTTATTTTCTGCTTGATTCTGAACTTAAAAAGTCTAGGAATGTTCAGTCCACCTTCCATACTTTTGTCAGAGAGCTTACTGGATCCTGGAACTTCTCTAGGACCTCATCCTCTGGTGAAATAACAAGTGACTGGCTGGTGAATAGGTTTTGAATCATGCTTGAATCAGGTTTTGGTGATCTTTGGACGTAAAAGAGATCCTATCTAAAGTGGACTGTAAAACCAGAAACTCTTTAATGGAATCAAGTGTTTCATCTTGATGTTCATAATGCAATAAAATTATTAGCTTTTCCATCCTAACAGGTATAAAATTTTCTAGAAAGTAAAAGAATAGAAATCCTGTAACTGTGATGCTGAGGGGGGAGAAAAAAGAAGGGAAATACTTTGAAGGTGTACTTTGTCTGATATATGCTAAATATATATAATTCTTTCACTATGTATAATTCATAGATATATTAATATGCATGAAAATTCATAGCAATTAAAGAATTAGAGAATTTTGCAATTAAATGTTCTGATATTCAGACAGTCTTTGATCATGTGCAATTAGGTTTCCAAGACCTTCTTCAACAAAGTTAATCTGATAATGGCACAAGAACAGCAATTAGAGACACTGTTTTCACAGACATTTAATAGCTCATGAAATCAATTAAATGTCCTGCAACTTTTGTTTTACATTGTTAAAAGGATTATCATTACCAAACCACTTAGACAACAACAGATTTGTTCTGTGCATTAGAAAAATGAAAGAACAATTTATTTGTTCTGCATTTTAACTTTTAGCAGGTGTTCAGCCACAGAACACTTGTCTGCTGGACTCAAACCATCCACATTTGTACTCTCTCTAGGATATTATCATTACACTTTTTTAGTTGTTGTGTCTAAGTATCTCAGGTTATTAGCATGCAAACCCCTTTAAGAGTTACACACTCCATAGCCAGTTGTTAAGGGAAGTGAGGATGTTTTAGCTCTTACAGAAGTCAATGGATTGAAAGAAGCATAAATTGAACTGTTTATCCACAGAATTAAGTTGTAATGACAATTCCAACTTCCTTCCACACAACCACACCTTCAGTGGAAGTTGGACTGAGGCTGAAAAATACTCATTCCACAACCAACCATAAGGCAAGTTTCATGATTATGTTTCATCATTACTATCCCATGTTTCCTCCCATTACTATCTTGATACATAATGGTAAAGTAGAAGTGAATGACTCGTTATTTATCCCTTGAGCCCTTCAGATTTCTGATGTGGCTTTTACAGATTTTCTTTTACCAGAACATCATTTTAAGAATTGTTTTTCAGAAACATCAGCATTGCAGCAGACTAGCCAATATGCTGAGACAGTGCATGATTGCACCATAGGTTCCAATCAGACATCTTACACAACACTCTTGTGTAACATCGAGTTATGACTTGTCCCCTCGGTACTGAGAGATGGAAATATGATAGAGAAGTTAATCTCTAAATCAATACAATTGAAATATCACCCACTGTGAAACAACTGACAAGGAGTCCTATAGTGGGCTACTTTTAATAAAAGTTTGGTTTTTAAAAAAATTAATTTTGCTTTGACTCATACCTTTCAACTGGAAAATAAAAATCTCTTACCTTTTTTGTTTGCCCATTTTTCACATACTCAACACCAATGCATTTTGTTCCTTGAAACAAGATTTTTGTTACAAGTGTCTTCTCTGCAACTGACAAATTTGGGCGTGATATGGCTGGGCGAAGATAAGCACTAGCTGTGCTCCATCTCTGACCTACAATGTATATTTACATTAAACATCAAAATAGTCATTCTCAGTAATCTTCAGATTTTGGCCAATAACCACCAGGATGTTTACAGAGGGAAAGCCTTCACAGAGTTTATCAGTTCAAAGCAGATGTGATTTGAAATAATAACTAAATATTTTATTTTAACAGAACAAATTTCACAGTGGCAGTTTAACTGTGAATCAAGACTGCCAATGCAATTTTCAGTGAAATACCCACTAGACTGATAGAAAGCTGAAATGAGCAGGATGTAAACACAGAATGCCATAGCTATGTAGTAATCTAAACACCCAAATGGCATCCAGTGCAGATTATATGTTCATATTCCAAAATTATTCAGAAGTACCACTGATGGCTCAGAAACAGAAATTATCTATGGACCCCATTATGATTTACCTTGATGTATAGTCATGTCCATCCAGCCAAATCCTTCTTGCTGATAGCCATTCATGTCATCTGTGAAGGGATACCCAGCTTGCTGGGTTGCCTCCAGGAATGCTTGATGAAGAGGATGGTTTGTTTTCCCTCTTGACACGTGCAGGGGTCCATTTCCACCTCTGTACTGATTTGGCCCCAATTCATGTGTCTGTGCTTTCTTAAAATAGGGCAAGCAATATTCATAGTCCCATCCTGTAGCCCCTTCCCTGCTCCATCTGTTATAATCCTCTGCATGCCCTCGGATGTAAACCATAGCATTGAGGGAGGAGGAGCCACCCCACACTCTCCCTCGGGGCCAGTACATCACTCGGTTGTCCATGTGCTTTTGGGATGTTGTGTGGTAGTACCAGTTGTATTTCTCATCACAGAGGTTGTATGTTAATGCAGCAGGCATGTGAATCTTCCACATCAGCCTTTTACTGCCTAGAAGGGTATCTTTAGGGCCTGCTTCGAGAAGGAGCACAGTACTGAGAGGGTCTTCTGTCAGTCTGTTGGCTAATACACACCCCGCTGATCCAGCTCCAACAATGACGTAGTTATAAGAGTTTGCCTTTTCAGAGCTAAGTTGAGATGATGCACGTGAAATTTTGAGTTGTTGTTCATTGATGCCCAAAATGTTCTTTAATGTGTGTGCTTTAAAGAGGCTTCCTGTTACTTTGCCCATCTGACTTACAGGACTGCACCATTTAACTCCTTTTATTAAGTACGACATCTTTACTGACAGTACCAGTTTTGCAGAATTTTCAACAAAGATCCAGTGTTTTACCCTAGAAAAATAAACAAAAATACTAATTAAGATGTAAGCATTACTACCTCTAGAATGTCAGTAATTTTCAGGTAACACTGGTATACTTTACCCATTCTCACTATCCAGAAACAATGGATAATAACAATGTCAATAAACCAATAAACATTTACCCTGAAATTTGCTGCCTTATTATTCCTTTAATGCAGTCTGTGCACCAGTCAGATGGTGTACCATTGTGTATTATATGCAGCCTGATTTTGATTTGCTCCTGGTTCCTGAGATAGATACATGACAGACATTTTCAAGTATTTGCCAAACCTATAAAAGGTGGAAACCTTTGCTTACCTAGTAGTCTCTCTTCACCCACCTCTAACAGGAAAGAATATAAGAAAAACAACAATTCCACAAACTTCTCAGTAAGTTTTTGACAGACAGTGATATCACACCAGCCAATTCACAGTGGAAATGATGAGTATGCCCACTGCACATTCTGCCAGACCAAATCTAGGACATCTCTACACAACAGATGTGTAACAGTGAAACTCATTTCCAGCTATCCCTAAGGTGGAAAACTGCTGGGTTTGGAGACATGACTCCTAACATAGGGAAAGGCAAAATCTCTTTATCTTTGCTTTCTACCTTAGTACTAAACCCAGGTCCTGCAAGAGTTCTCCAAGTAAAGTTACAATCCATCATCACCAGCTCCTCAAGGTGAGTAGGAATGGCAAGTTTTTCACCTTCAGAGAAGCCTGTGAGCCCTGTAAGCAACACAGGTTTAGCTCTGTGTTGTACTGGTACCAGGGACTCAGTGCAAGATTTTCACAACCTGTGTGTCACAGAAACTGTTGCTGCTGGCCACTCAAAAGTGTTTCCCTTGCTCTGTCCCCTTGAAACTCACTCCTTTAGGTGTATACTGTTAGTGAATAGGGATATGTTAAGGTTGTAAGTAGAATTTCTCCCTGGCCAATGGCTTCTATCTAAGCCATTGCCGAGGATTCTAGAGATAGCAACTTATCCAGCAGCTGTTCCACTGTAATGCACTGCCCAGCTGAAAGATATAAGCAAGCTTTTTCCTGAAATACATTGAATATTGTTTTATGTGAAATAAAAGTTTTCAGAAATGTGTTGTTAATGTTGATTTTTTTTTTACATTCAAGTTTCACAGTTATCCATTTTTTTGTAATATAAAACCTGTATTTCTTTTTAAATGTGTGGGGGTTTTCACTAAAAGAAAACATGCCTTAATGAATCACTGAAATAATCAGCTTTTTCTTACTGAACAGTGGAACAGAACTGTTTTCTTGGGTGAAACTCTACAGTGTAAAGTTTGTGAAAGTAAATGTTAAAATTCTCCAATGTACAACTATATACAATTTTATGTACAATCTCATGTGCAAAAGTATGTTTATTTTTTACTCTCAGGGAAAGGCTGGGAAGAAGCATACATCTGACTCTTCTTAGAAAAACTTGTAACAGGCTGTACAAACCCCCAAAACTTCTGAAAAATGAGCAACCACCCATGGAGCACAGTCTGCTCTGCAAAGAAAAAAAAAAAGATGCTGGGGATATGTCTGAGCCTGAAGTTCACACAGGTGATTCTCACATGGCTAATTCAAAACTGAGCCCAGCTGAAGGTGGGGGTGGAATTTGTTTTTTGCAGGTGGCAACTATTAAAGGATTGTCTCCTGTAGAAGGAGGTTTCTCCGTTTCCTGTGACGCAGCAGAGGTGCATGCAAAGGTAGAGAGGTTTTTACTTGCTTTGTTTGTGATGAAGAGGCTTATGGTTTTGAAGTACTGATGTTTAACCTGCCAAACTAAAGGGTCACAGGACTTTATTGATTCAGGAACGGCAAATCGATGATGGAGTTGGTAGAATATGGGCCTGGGTCTGAAAAATCTGGGAAAGATACTCTGTTCCTGTAATGTGGTTTTTTTCTACTTTTCTGGGAGAAGTAAATACTCAGATTTTGGTCCTACAGAAAGTCAACACATTATTTAAACAGGTAGGGCTCACAGACTCTGAAATGGGTACTGACTGGCTTCTTTTGGCATTGATAAAGCCATTAAATTTTGCTGTAGCTCCTGACTGGAATGCTGGCTGTTAAGCCTGAAATCTACCTAGTCCTTGGCTGAGGGTAGATTCTCCAAAATCCCTGGAATTGAGTTCAGTCAGGGACTGATCTACTCTGGTAGTGCTGGAGGCTGTAGTTCTACAGCTTGCTACAGCATAAATAATGGCTACTGAGCTCTCAATAAAAGCTCTTGTAGTGGCACTCCAAAGACAGCAGTGATATGACAGGACTAAGTGTTTGTGTCTTGCCTTGTGCCAGAATCCTAATACTGAAGTCTATACCCTTTTAAAAGCTGGTTTGTTTAAGAGCCTCTCACAGATGCAGGCTTTGAAACTCAAAACTATTCAACATTTTATTGAAGAGGTTGGTATCAAGGACTGAGATCATCAAGTCCCCAAATCAGAACATGATGATACTTCTCTACAGTAATGTATGAAGTATTATGAGCATGCATGGGTTAATAACAGTTCAAGTTCTTCTGTGGCAAATAGTCTTGTGGAATGTGGCAGAACCATAGAAAATGTAATCTTTTTACACTGAGCACCTTTGCACTCAACTTTCCCTTAGTTTCATCTGGCCTTTTTTTTTTTTTGTTTGTTTGTTTGCTTTTGCACTGGAGCATTTAGAACCTGTGCAGTGTTCCTAAAAACTGTATTTCAGCAAGAAAGGTGCTTTTTTTCAGTAACTGGAAAAAATCAAGTTATTATCTTTATACATAGAGTCACTTGAGGCTCTGAAAGGTGCTGAGGAAGCAGGCCCTCTTTAGCCAGGGAATTATAGTTTTATGGCAGCTCTATTAAATCCTGCAGTGGATATGTCAAAATGGAATACGTAAAAATATGAAAGTATACACAAAACAGTTCTACTGGAATGCTCTCTACTTACTACCAACAAAAAGCTGTCTTTTGGGCCTCACTGAATATTATTGCATGTCTATCAGAATTCCTCCAAATCAGGACCTCTTTATGAACATGTGGTAAGGTGTTCCTCAGGAATATGTCTATAACATAATACCCTCAGGAATCAGTGAGCAGAACCTGCAGAAATGCATATGGCAGCAACATAAAATACATTCCCTGTATTGCAGTAGAGCTTCAAAATCTGGAGCTGATTTTAAAAAAGCAGAGTGTTTGCAGAGGTTGCTATTCAGTGGGGCCTATAGATGGTGGTCTTACAAGGCTGAGGAGAGCAGGAGCACCTGAGCAGGAAAATTCTCATTACTACAATTCAGTAATATACTTAATTGGACACTGGTGAGCTCAAAGTGGGCAGTGGAGATCTGAAATGAGGTGTTTGGGGCCCTTATATCATTGTAACACATTTCTGAATACAGTCAGGCTGCTGTAATCCGTGAGTACCTACAGTACCTGCTGTTATGACTCCACAGATGTTGGTGTGGGGTCACATGTGAAAACAGATTTCTCTAAGGGACAGTGATGCTGTAAAAGGTGAAGAATGTGTTGCTTCACTTTATTTATTTATTTATTTATTTAAATTTTGTTTTTTAGGACAAAAAGGACAGGGGAAAAAAGGCTGCATAGGGCATCTAAGGACTAAACTGGCTTTTACTCTCTGTAAGAAAGATAAGCAAAGGCATTAGGATTCAGCCCAGAGACCTTACTCCTAGACTTCTAAAGGACTCACAGTCCACTGCGAAGAGAAGAAGGTGGATATTCTCCATGCATAGCAGGGTATATTGGAAAATGGGTAGAAATGAAATAGTTCTGTAGTGGATGAGGTGCCTAATCTAAAAATGTTAGAGGGCATTTGGCATCATTACTGTTAACCAACCAGAGCTGTCCTGTTCTTTGATAAAACTGCAAATGAGTTATCAAAAATATGTACCATGACAGAGTACCCACTGTCTGGGCTGAAGGCTGAATTACCAGCCAGGAAGGCTAAATCTAATGTTGATGTTCTTTTTTTTTAGTAGCTGAAGTATTATTTTAAATTTACTCCACCATGTTTTCCACATTTATAGTTAGATATGATTTCATGGTTTGGTTTTTGTTTTTGTTGGTTTTTTTTGTTTATGGTTTTTTTTTGTGGCTTGGTTGGTTTTGTGGGTTTTTTTGTTGTATTTGTATGTTTCATTTTACATCAAATGGAACAGGACTGACAGAATAACATTTGAGAGCATTTTTATCTTGCAAAGTGTGAACTCAGTCAGCGCTGTCCTGGCCATAACATTCAAGTGACTTTGAGAGTCAGTGTGTAGATGATTCACAAACTTCTGTTCTTTTAAGTTCTGAAGTGCAGAGGTCAAGAATCAAGCCATTCTGATTTAGTTTAAATGAAGCGTACATGTTTGGATTGAATGGATTAAAACATTAGTTTCAAGGCACAGTTCTTTTGCTGTATTGATCCACATCCACTCTCCTCTACCCGTGGTCCCTCTGCATAAGCACTGTCCTAGCCCAGCTCTTCTAAACTGATCCTGAAACAAAGAGGAGCCACTGTGCCACTTTACTCCCTGTCCTATTTTGACTGAGCCAAAACGAGAATATCCTCTCTGGCAGATGTAAAATATGACCCTCTCCCAGAGATGTCCACAGCACGGACAATACAGGATGCAGCAGAACGAGACCCCGTCAGGACGTTTACCCTTCACGGCACTGCCAAAACCTGTCATGCCTGACTGTGTAAGGCTCAGGAGGAACAGCTCCTCAGGTAGAAGCAGAACTTACCTTTTGTTTGTTTGTTTTCCCTGCTGGAGGCTGTGTAACACCGTTTAAATGAATCTGCCGTGGGAATGGTTTGGACTAACTTTCCCTTCAGTCCCGCTAGGAAGGAAGTTCATTCACTTACAAAAACTTTGTTGCAAGTTTCCTTTCCACGGCTGGGACCGCTCAAGCCCACTTACCTCGCCGCTTCCTCCAGAGAACAAGCGTGTCTGGCCGCTGTGAGCTCCGCGGGTCCCGCGACCCCGCCCGGGGGGCTCCTGCACTACAGAGAGCGGGGCCGCCCGAGGAGGAGGCAGATCGAGCTCTGTCCCGCAGGAGGAGGCAGATCGCGACTCTGTCCCGCAGGAGGAGGCAGATCGCGGCTCTGTCCCGCAGGAGGAGGCAGATCGCGGCTCTGTCCCGCAGGAGGAGGCAGATCGCGGCTCTGTCCCGCAGGAGGAGGCAGATCGCGGCTCTGTCCCGCAGGAGGAGGCAGATCGCGGCTCTGTCCCGCAGGAGGGGCACCCACAGGACACGGCTCTGTCCCTCCCCGCCGCGGAGGCCGCTCGTGTGTGGGGCTGCCGCGGGCGCTGCAGCAGCGGGGCCGAAGCCGCCCACCCTCGGCAGCCACCGCCCAGCTCCGGGGGGGACGGGGGTGGTCCCTGCGAGCGCGGGTGGGGCCGCCGGCGGGGAGGGAGCGGAGCCGGGGGCGGGCGGCGGCGGCGGAGAGGTCCGTGGGGAGGCAGGGCAGGAGCGCGGGTGGGACTTCACCGCGGAATGCACCCTTTGGCCGCTGCGGAGGATGCGTTCGAGCGGCTTCGTGCTGTTTCGAAAACGGCCCGAGCGGCAGCCGGGACGAAGTCCGCCGCCTCGCCCATCCCACTGGAGTGCGTGGGCAGCTGGAGCTCCGTGGGACGGGGCCGGGATACGGCCGGGACAGCTTCGCCCGCGGGACTCCGGCAGTGTCCAGGTCCGCGCTGAGGCGGCCTCCCCGCTGCTTTCCCGAGAGCGCTCCAACTTTTTCGCTCCGCCCCTAGTGGGCTGGACAAAAGGCTTTTTTTGTTTAGGGTTTTCTGTTGTTGTGTTTGTGTGTTTGTTTGCTTGGAGTTTTTTGTCCCCTTAAAGCAATAAAAGTGGTTTTGCTTTTTAAAGCAAGCATCTTCGACAGTGTTGTCGAACCCTCTTTCCAAAGGGAGCGTTGGGAACTGCAACGCGGCTCGAGGTGAAGGGGAAACTCCAGGTGGCGATGGGGAGGGCGGGCCCCGCTCCACCGTGTCCGTGTCCGTGTCCGTGCCCTGCCCGGCACTGCCGGGGGTGTCTGTGTGAGCTGTAGGTGAAGTGCTCGAGGGCAGCCTGCTGAAGTTGAGCTGGGCCTTGCAGTTCAAGGCTTTAGGTGCGATCCTTACCTGTGCATTAAAATGGGACGGTGGGGAGAGGATCCCATAAAACTCATTGAGAAACGGTCAAGGATTGGTATTGTGTGAAGAGTCAGTGCCACTCCTGGAGGATGACTCCAGGAGTCTTGTTTTCCATTGCAGAATGCTCGTGGTAGAACAAAGTTGATATAATGAAGACAAGCCAAGATAATTGTGAGAATTTGTACTTTCTCCAGACATCACCTATCTTCAATATTTCTTGCAAGTGCTGATTATTTTCCCAAATCCTTCCTTATCGCTCTTGGAATGTATTGAATGGTTAATAATTTTCTACCTTAATTACTTGTTAATGTTTTTGTTCTTAGTTAAATAAGAAGAAAATAATGGACAGTCTGTGGGTGGTTGGTTATTCATACTCAGGCACCAAACTCTAAACTTCTGAATAATTATTCATTAATGGAAAAGAGTAATTGTTCTCTGTAGAACTATGAGTAAAGTTGTAGTTGATATAAGTGATCTTTGATCTTTGTAGTAATTAAGAAAATACAGATCGTACATTTGCTAAAATTTTAAATATCCATTTAAATTCACAGTCTTTAGAGATAATTTTGCTGAAGTACAGCAGAAGTTGTACTGAAATTGGTGCTATGAACACATATAGACATGATACCAAAGAGGGAAAGATGACTCGAAAAGTGTTTCATGATATGATCTTTGCCTAAATATTGAATAGGGTCTAAGACCTACTTCTGAATCTTTCCCTCTATCATACCCATGGCCTAAAAATGGAAATTTTGAGAATTCTGTACACTTGAATTTGGATAGTAATGTCATATTTTAATCTGTGGATATGAGATTGAGAAATTTTCTTGGTTTATGCGTAATGATGGATTTAGTCTAGTTACTGGTTGGTACTCTGACATGACCAAATGTACCTTTAGTAGGCTAAACAAATTCCTTGCAGATTTGAGCATGCAGATGTGTAACTAAGAAGCACTATGCTTCTAAATCAGTTGGAGGTTTAGTAGGCTAGATGTTTTTGCCACATACATTTTCAAGCAGCAGTCCCTGAATTCAAACAGCTGCAGAGAATCCGTGTTGTAACAAACACTTCTGAGTTGTCCCTTCAAAAGCACGATCACTCTGTAAGGTCATAAGGTGCCACCTGCAGGGTGTGTGGTGCCTACCACAAGCACAGCTCCAGCAGAAACCCACTTCATCACTTCTATAGTTATTAACAACTTGAAACTGAAATCTTTTCAACCCTCAGGGGGTTTGCAAAAATACAGACAAAATGAGGAGTGAGTTTTACAACAAGCTTGAACATTTAATATTGCTTTATGAGCATCAAAGGTAAGAAGTTCTTATTGAAACAGACATAGAAGCAAAGGTAATTTTCTGATGAATTATAGTAAATTGAAAGCATAGTTTTCTGAGTTGTCCTTCTGTAGTAGCACAGCAGGAGGCTCTTGCTTCCATTGCAGTGCAATCACCAGAGATGGCCAGAGAACAAAGGGAGAGGGTTTTTACAGAGCTGCTGTTGCTTTCAGAGGAGCTCTGCTCCACTGTAACATTATTTTATTTTTTGAGATTGCATTTTTAAGAATGGTTTAAATGGCATTATTATGTTCAGAATGAGATAATCAGTGAACATGACAATGTAAGAAAATAGTAACATAGTAACATTAATTAGGCTTCACTTACCTGCAGCACACCTCGCTTGGAATTCCGAAGATACTCATCCTGTTTTATTTTATTTAATTATATTGATTTAAAGATAAATGTTTATGAATGATCTATAATTCTGCTGTTAAGAATATATCATAGTTTTAAAGCCTAGTAAGCGCAATTTGAAATTCAATTAAATATTAAATGTAATTTAACTTAGTAATGACTCTGATGTTTTTGACTTTTTTCTTCCCCTGCATACCCTTCTCCAGGATTTCATTTCACTATAAGATAAATGACACTAGAATTTCTGTGAGGATACTGGGGTGATGAGAGCACTGATATTTTTGTAAAGCTAAGCAACATTTTTAAACTTTATTTTCAGTAATGATTAACCATTCTGCATTGCCTTTCAGCACAATTTCTCTTCTATAGATGGACACTGGAAATGCTCATTTCAGTAACTGTGTTCATTTTCTCTAAAGTCTATTAAAATATGCATAAGTAAATCCATAAATACGATATATTGATAACTATTATGATAACTGAAGATAGTTTTTACAGACTTGTTTCAAAGTGATTCTTTCTCTTCCAGAGCTCCTCACAGTCAATTCTGTTGGAGGATTTGTGTGTTTTCTCCCTGCTGCTCTACTTATGGCTGTATGTGCTATTGCTGCAGTGGTTCATCACAGACCAAGGTGAGAGTTCTTACCTTACTTTCTCAAATTTTAGTATTCTGTAATTCCTGCTGTTTGACTTTTGCTGCAAGCACCCTTTTAGATAAGATCATGTGAAGAGACCACCTTTCAGGTGCAGACCATGGGACTGGACTAGGGCTGGGCTGCAGGAACTCCCCCGAAATACTCAGTGCAAAAATGTGTTCCTTGTCCCTAAGGGTTTGCTCTGTCACCTCTGCCATTCTCCCACACTCCCTGCTAATGTGAGCACAGCCTTTTTCCTTCAGTTGCTTTCTTCCTAAATGGAGAGTAAATATTCAATCTCTTACAACAAATAGCACTTCTGTAACTAAGGATTATTTGTTGGGAGAGAGAGCCCACGTACCTGTACCACAGAACTGAGGTTGGTGCTGGCTGTATACAATTGCAGCTAGTTCTTTTGGGTGTATTATACTGATTTTTCTGAAATAGGGAAAAAAGCAGACTCTACCATGGGTAATGAAAAGCTAACAAGAGGTTTTGATGATACGAACCAGCAAGGAAAAAATACTCCACTTCCAAATTCTTGTCTTTTCACTGAATAATATAATTTATTACATAAGTAAAATACCAACAGCAACTGTAGTTTTAATTCTTCATTTCACTTTTTCCATAATGATCACTTATGTAACAACTTCATCTCCTGGTGATGTTAGAGTAGACATTAGACCCACAGCTGCACTCTTCAGCTGTTGCTTCTGTGAACATGTACCTGGAATGAATTTTAGCTTCACATCTGTCACATCAACATTTTATACCTTAAGTTCCCACACTGTGCAATTTTAATATAAATAACCTGTATCATATAAACACAGTTAATTTGCAGATGACTGTGGTACTCTGTACACAGAATTCAATGCCTACAATTCCAAAGTTGAAGTGTAGCAGTGCTGAAGTCACGTGCATTCCGTAAGATTGTTTTTGCAACACTTCTGGAAAAATCTCAGTTGAAGTCAATATTAATAAAATACAAAAATATATATCAGCAGCAGATCAATACATCTGCACTTTAAAAAAAAAGAAAGGGCATTTGGGGAAAGGAATCTTGAGTTAAGCAGGTTCCACTGTACCCACACCCATCACCACACAAACGCGGCTCGTTCTCGTAACATTCGGACACCAAAGCGCTGCCACTCCCGCTGATAAATCCAGAGCTCCTGAGCTGTGTCAAGACAGGCCAAAACTGCACCTCCTTTCCAGGCAATTAAGCGTGGATCCATATCCTAAATTCAAAACACAGATTGCACGTAATCACTAGTCTGATTTCTGCATAGTTCTCCAAGGTTGTATCCTACTATTTCTAACAGTATTCACCACTTAGAATCCTGGGGTAGGGGAGGAGAAAGGTTTTTCAATGTTATCCAGGAAAAAAAAAAGCTAGATAAAAATATGTAAAGAATTTTTAAGATGCTCTGAGAAGTCACCTTTTTTTTAAGATGCCTTTTAGGCATGTCATGAAAATTCTGCCTTCAGCAATGGAGGCTCTGAAATATACTCAAGTTTTTAATTTACAAGTTTTGCCCAATTAATGTCAAATGAAAATTGATCTTAATACCATGTTTTCTTTTACC